TCTCCAGCACGCAGGGGCCATCCCAGGCGGGGATCTCCAGGCCCAGGTGTTTCATGAGCCGGGTCATGACCTCATCTACGTAGCCGTGGATGCGTAGGTCAGCATGGCGGTCCTGCTGGGGCAAGGCAGCGTCAGGTGGAGGCAGAGGGCTCACTGCTCATGGGTGGGGAGGTGGGGGGAGGGGAAAGTCAAGAGGATGAGGGTCTCAGGACATACATGCTTGGTAGGCTGAAGGTTGATGATGACCAGCCTGCCTCCACGGCGCTTGGTGGCAAGCGGCAGGTTCCCGCTGGGCCGGATTTGGAGGGACGTGCCCAGTGTGACAGACAGGTCGGCGATCCTGGCGGCCAGGAGGTGGGGTTAGGCTGAGCCTCTCTCTTCATTGGTTTCTGCAGCCCTCTGGGCTTGAGGGAGTCTCCAACCCTTAGGTCTCAAACTCTACTGCAGCATGCCCAGGCACACCCTGGGAGGCCAAACTTCCCTGAATTTTGCTCCTTCCCTTCTACTGGAACCACCTCCCTACCACATTGGCAGAGGGAAGTTGATGTGGGTGGGAACTTCCACACTTGGGCTCCTGGGTTGAATCCTGGCTGGGCAGAACTGGACAGAGGAGTCACCTTGCTAAAGTCTCAGTTTCCTTGCCTGTAAAATGGGCCCAGTGTAGAACCCCCATGGGCCGTGGTGAGAACGGTGTCTGTGAAGCCCAGGATCACGAGTGAGAAGGCTAGCAGCTGCCATTATTACGGGGAAATAAAGGCCCAGATAGGGTTTGAGCCACCTCTTCCAGGAAGCCTCTCCTGACCCCACCTCTGAGCTGGAGTCCCCTGCACTGTGCTAAAGATGGTTGTGCTTTTGCCCCTCTCCCTGCCTGCCCCACCCTAGGCTCATCTGGGGGTCAGACCTGCTGGCCTCATCAGCAAGAGTGAGGTCCCGTTCAGGCAGGGCATCCTCCCAGTCCAGGATGGTGTCTCTCAGCTCCCCCCTGCAATGGTGAGGGTTGAGGACAGTCAGTATGGAGACCTGCCACCTCCCCAGCGGCCCAGGGCATGAGAGGGGTCACTCACCTGCAGGCCCGCAGGCCCCTTGCCTTGGCCATGGTGCAGAGCCGGCCGGTGGCTTTGAGACCCATGCTGCCCACGACAGTGTCCCGGACGTACTGCCTATGTTGGGGGAGAAAAGAGGGATGGCGGGGCCGGGTCAAACCCACCACCTTCCCACCTTATGGCCACACCCAGTGGTTCTTGCTTTTGGGGAGCTCTCATTTTCCCAGGGAAGTAGTGGCTACATGACTAGAATCAAAGCACAGGGAAACATCCAGCAAGCCCAGAAAGTTGAGGGGAACGGGACCTTGCATGGAACAGCTACTTTGCAACCTCAACAGCATGGAAAACAGGGAAAGGTCGGAACTGTTCTAGACAAAGGAGACTAAAGAGACGTGACAATGACACACAAAGTGTGACCCCGGCTTGGGTCTTGGACCAGGAGAAAAATAGCAACAATGGGAGCACTGGGAATATTAACTGGAGACTAAGTCATCACATTACGGTTTTTACGTTTCCCAACTTGAATAATGGCACTGTGGCTGTGGAGGACAATCCTGAAGCTCAAGGGAGATAAATATCTTAAGGGTTTGGGGGCAAAGGATAAGGAAGTCTGCCATTTACTCTTGAACAGCATAGCAAACACTGGTAACACACAGAGAGAAGGGAAAACGAATTGTGGCAAAATAGTAATATTGGAATCTAAGAGGCCAGCAAACTATTGCCCTTTGGATCAAATCTAGCCTTCCAGTTATGTTTTTGTAAATAAAGTTTTATTGCTACATGGCCATGTTGATTCCTTTATGTTTCTATGGCAGCTTTTGTACTACAATAGCAGTCAATGGCTATAACAGAAACAGTCTGGCCTACAAAGCTGAAAATATTCATCATCTGGCCCTTTACAGGAAAGTTTGTTAACTGCTAGTCTAGGTTAAGTATGAGTTCATCATATGATTCTTGTTTTCCATTAGTTTGAAAATTTTTCAAAATAAATACGGGGGAAAAAATATTTCATAACAAGTAGGGGGTCCTACTTGTGCCCTGGTATCCAAAATTCTACCTGCGGGAGGTGTTGGCAGGGCCATGCTCCCTGCCACTGACATCTCCAGTTATTCTTGTCTGTGAGGCTGCTCTCTCACAATAGGGAGACATATCTAGAGCCCATCTGTTCCAAGAAGGGATCTGGCTCAGCCTTCCCAGAGCTGGGGTCACATCCATCAACCCACAACACTGTTATGGGTTGAATTGTGTGCCCCAAAATGATACATTGGAGTCCAAATCCCTTTACTGTAGAAGGTGACCATATTTGGAAAGAGGGTGGCT